CGAGTGAGATGTGCCCGAGTGAGAAGTTGCAGCAGTCCAACGACTACCGCTGGAATGGCGGCCGTGGTCCGGGAATTTCATGGCAGGACAAGGCTGGTTGTGAGGGGGGATTTTTCGCGACCTGGTGGACTGGTCGAATGGTCGAAGTAGGTGTGGACCTGCTTGCCTAATGTGAGGAAAGATTCTCCTTCACAGGTACAGTGTTTCTCGCTGTAGATGCTGAGGCGCGTCAGGTGGGTTGGGTTTGGCGGAGCGTCAGCTCGTCTGCACCAGCTGTTGCGGAGGGTGAGCGACAGGTACCTGAAGAAGCGCCAAACTCAGTCTCCTGCTTTGTGATACGCACCAGCACCCATAGTAATGTACTACTTCTTGAAAGTGTGGCTTCTGGATACGGAATCTGATTGTTAATCGTTGTTTTCAGACAAATGACCACTATAGTTCCTAACAAGTAACCTACATCGAACTGATTTATTCAAAATTAAGTTGTTTTAAGAGCATTTGAACAATTGATGGTCTATTATGAAATCTATCATCGCGATAAGGAAGGTTCGGCAGTCCTCCGTTTCATTCTTCCTCTGCTGTAGTTGCTGTTGTAGTTGTCGATTCTACGGTCGTGCTATCCTCGAGGGTTACAATAGGTTCTTTGGATGTTCCTTGTTGTGTTGTGGTATGTTCTTTGAACGTTGCTTCCTTTCCCGAGACACTTTCCGAAATATTTGTCAGTGAAACTTGCGTCACCAAGGTGGTGAATATGGAAGTCGTTGGATATGTCTCATTGGCGTCGATGCTCGGTGGAGTACTCGTGATGGTCATGTATACCAAATAGCCAGCACCACCAAGAATAGCAAGTACAATCAGCAAGAAGAGTAGACATGAACAACTCTGAAAATCTTTCAAGGCTTCTTGAAATAAAATAATGACGTGACGGGGGCGGAGAGGGTCCCCACGAGACAGAGATGTGGATCTAAGTGATGAGAGTTAGCACGAGAACATGCAACGTGGCCGAGACGCCCCTTGCTGAACACCGATCTGGACGGTACACTGGCTTTAAGATAGTGACGCCCTGACGCCGCTTCCATACTCCGCTCGCGCTGCCACACGGCCAGCCACGCGCCGAACCATGGCTCAAAGGAGCTTTCTCACTTCTAGATGCTCTCTGCCGCTGAGTGCGTGTTTCGCCGTGGGTCCTTGGCATCGAGGCGAGTGCTGCACCTTACGGATAGTGCATGGAGTAGGAGACGACACTCGCAAACCATCACCCTACAGCCCTATTCCCAAACGCTTCCCGTCAGGGGGAAGTGGTACGCTGTTGCAGCTGCGGACCCTTTCTCGCACAGGGCCGCACCGTCCCCGTAGGTGAGCTACAGTTTGTCTTCAAGGACGCAAGTCCGTAGCATTTTTACCATGAATTGCGGCCGCACCTATATTTACTCGTAGTTTATGACGCTGTTTCAAGTAGTGGTTGGAAGATTGTGAAAACTCACGCAATAGCCTGACGAATCAGCCCCCAAAGGCATAACATAGATTGAGTAAGCTGGTTCTCTCGATTCGCCACTGCTACTTGGTGAATGTCTCCGAGCCGGACGTCTAGTCTTCCTTCTACTGCCGGATCTGTCTGCTCCTCGTCTGTGCCTCGGTGATGGTGGAGGTGCTCTCCGATCACCCGCCCTTGACGGTCTGTCCCTTCACGAGAAAACGGATGACAGAATGATTGAGATGAAGCATATGCGAGTCCACTCACCTTGACGTTCTTCGCTTGCGTTCAACCGTCGGCTCCTGCGTGTCCATTAGTTCATTAGCTGGAGGTGGTGGAGGTGGCGGCGGGCCGCCTCGTGGAGCAGGCGGTGGTGGGGGATGGTGGTGTGGTGGCGGTGGTGGTGGAGGAGGAGGATAGTGGTGTGGGTGTGGTGCAGGCGCTGGTGGTGGTGGGGGTGGCGGAGGTGCACCTCCAGCTGGACCGAGTGGCTCGTATTCATCACCCATATCCTGCGGCCGATCTTGCTAGACAATTGACCATCATACTCTTCCAAATGGTTTTTATATGAGCTGTTGTTTTCAGGTTTGTGGAAATGCAGATAGTTCGGGTGATAATATTGCTTCAAAATCCTTTAACTCTAGGGCATTAACGCTGCCACTGGTATCACCTTTGGCGATGGTAGCAGCCAGGTCCATCATCCTTGTCGATACCACCTTACAAGGGAATGGTTTGAGCTTCCCATGGAACTTTGAATGGAGACCTAGGTACATCGATAGAGTCTCGGAATGCTGACTGCGAGTATGCAGATTAAAAGTACGGGACTATTAAGCGACGGAGGACTTCCCAGACGGTCAAATTTTGCAAAAACTAGGTTCTGGCTCGTAAGCGCTGCTGATCGATCGTTGAGCAGTGGCCTAGTGGTCTCGCTCCAAAGGCAAGTGCCCGTAGGCTTGCATCCTGTTGCCGGGAAGATTTTTGCTTCGTCTCATATAGAGCTCTTACTCTAATTTTCGAATCCTCCGAAATTACGGTCCAGCAGAGCAAGCAGATCAAGTAGATCAAGTATATGACGTACTCGATCTAGTATGGATTTGATCACTATCTGTCCTCTCTGAACTTATTACCCATCCGACAATTCAAAGTTTTGGCGAGAAACTCGTTCCTGGGGGTATTTTGACCCCCTGAACGACGAATATCACATCCGTTTGACGAGAAAACGCTTGTAACTTTCACGTTCGTGGTCGCTGTGGTCATCAACTGATCTGGCCAAATTGTGATTCCAAAACTTCGAATTGTCGGATGGGTGATGAGTTCAGAGAGGGCAGATAGTGACCAAATCCATACTCGATCGAGTACGTCATATACTTGATCTACTTGATCTACTTGCTCTGCTGGGCCGTAAACTCGGAAGAATTTCGAAAATTAGAGTAAAGCTCTTATAGGAGACGAAGCAAAAACTTTCGCGCCAACGGGATGCAAACCCACGAGCACTTGCCTTTGAAGCGAGACCGTTACCACTAGGCCACGGTGGCACTGCCCAACGACCGATCAGCAGCGCTTACGAGCCAAAACCGAGTTTTCGCAAACTTTGACCGCCCAGATCTCGTCTGGGAGGTCCCCGTAGCACTTTTAATCTGCATATTCGTAATCAGCATTCGAGGCTCTATCGATGTACCTAGGTCTCCATTCAAAGTTCCATGGGAAGTTCAAACCATTCCCTTGTGAGACTGGGTTAGCTGAAGAGGTCTGATTAGGGAGGGGTTTTGAGCAATAGGGTAAATCAACACTGAAGATGTTCCAAATGGAAGATAGTAGAGTCTTGGACCTTTCGAACTCTGGAAACGCGTGTGCGTACACGGGAAGCACTACGTGGAGTTCGCAACTACACGTCATCTCTGGTTCCCTGCATCCCAATGGTCTTCGTCTTGCCCTTGGTGGCCTCCCAAGGGGGTCTCCAAGCCGTCTCTTCCACTTTACTGTAAGAACCTTTATCCAGGATATCGACGCCTACTCCCAGTATATGAGACCAGGTAGATAACGTCTGACGACACGCAATCACCTCCTGTCCGTAGAGGCATATGACATAATGGGGAGGTGGGACGGGGGGAGGGGGTGGAAGTAAGACACTATCGATTGCCTTCGCATCTTCAGCGCGCAGTCAATCGGTATTGCCTAACTTCAGAGGCCTTCGAAAAACCAGCCAGAAATCCAAAAAATTGGAACAGTGAAGACAGGTCTAACCATTACAAACGACATGATCTCGCTCGTTGACCTATGTGAGATTCAATCGTCATCAGCTTCATAACGAGGGACGAAGGACGGGCTCACAGTGAGTAAGCCTAGTATTGGTCTCAGTGAAACCTACTGTTTATTCCTAGCTGCTGCGAGCTGGGCCTTTGTCTACGCTACTGCTCACAAGGGGAGGTCTTTCAGGTCGTGGCGCGCTTTTCAGGAAATGGTTTGTTGCTTGTTGTAGGGGTCCATACAAGGATCTTAAAAATGGGTTTCATTTTTGCTATGCGTTTCTGGGGAGGTCAAAAACTGAGTGAAAAGAATTTGACAAGAATGGGCGATTTTAACTATCTTAATGGGCTCCGTTCTGATTGTAACTCCGAGCATGCATAGTTTATGAGGTGCTCGTTAATTAGGCTTCGAAAATAGTTCAAATGAAGTATCGTATCGTCGTCCCATCCAGAATCCATCGAGTTATCCGCTGCGCCATCCGATCCGCCGACAGTGAGCGTGAGGGGACCGCTGACAAAAACATCACTGTTGCGTCGGTGCATGCCAAGTGTGTTACTACATGATACTTACATTTTGACTTTATTTAAAACTATTTTCGAAGCCTAATTAACGAGCACCTCATAAACTATGCATGCTCGAAGTTACAATCAGAACGGAGCCCATTAAGATAGTTAAAATCGCCCATTCTTGTCAAATTTTTTCACTCAGTTTTTGACCTCCCAGAAACGCATAGCAAAAATGAAACCCATTTTTAAGATCCTTGTATGGACCCCTACAACAAGCAACAAACCATTTCCAAAAAGCGCGCCACGACTTGCAAGACCTCCTTTGTCAGATGCACCAGCCTTCGTGGACTGTTGCCAAACTTGACATGATTTATGAGGATGGAGTCACAGTGATCCTTGACTTTGGATGTTGCGACGAAGGCGACTAGCCGAAACGTAGGCTGAATAAAGTCGTGGTAACTCCGTTGTAACCGTAGTCGTTACCACTAAAGTCAGTCGGGGTGTGTCAGCGGCGGGTGGGCTTTGGTGTAGCGCTGGCCCGTTCTCTATAGATCTCTATGGCTTTGGGAGTCCAATAAGTCATGAGGAAGGGCCGGACACCGCCCCTAAATTCACGCGCCACCGACACGCCTCCACTGACTTTAGTGATAACGACTGCATATGTTCGCTAAACACTAGCAATCAACAAGACCTTTTATTCACAATTAATGTTTTAAGAGCATTTGAACTATCACTAATCTTCTGTCGTGAAATCGAGAAAGAAAAGTGTAATGCTAGATCGTTGCGGTTATTTCTGATGACTTTGTTGTGGTTGTTGTGTTTATGGCTTCAGTAGACTGACTCTTCTTTTTTCCTAGCAACTCATCAAGTATGGGTATATCCAGATCCATGCTCGTAAGAACCAAATATGCTGCCCCGCCAATAATCACAAGTATGGCCAGAAGCATTAATATGAATGAGCAACTCTGAAATTCATACGAATCAAGGGGCTACTGCAGAACATCCGGTCCTATGTACTTGAAGGAGCATTCGGGAGAATCTTTTTGGGCAACCAGCGGCCAGTATTGACGCCGATCGGATAGAACTACTGAACGCGAAGCTGGTTCACCCACCTCAGACCTCCCCCCGCCCTTCAGGCGTGTACAAGAGACCTTAGTTTCATTCTGCTAGGGGTCATTTAAGTGGTTTCCTAGCGTCATATGCCACGCTGACACGTCATCGCGTCGTACTACGACGCAGTGCCAGCGACTAGGAAAGTATAGATATCGATCTAGCGACCAACGGCGTCTACCAGCGTCCACCAGCTACCAGCAGCATCTCGAGGGCTAGGCGAATATAGGTATTGATTTAGCGACCAGCGGCGTCTACCTTGTTCACCAGCAGCGTCTAGGAATGGATCATGGGGCGATAGGAGGGTAGCAGATGGTTGGTGTCCTCCTATCGCCCCAAATACGAGCAGTCTGCTACCCTCCTATCTCCCCATACTCTATCAGCTATCTGCTACCCTCATATCACCCCATGCTCTCCATTCCTGGACGCTGCTGGTGAATCGATACCCATACTTCCCTAGCCTTCGAGACGCTGCTGGTCACTGGTGGACGCTGGTACACTCTGCTGGTCGCTAGATAGATATCCATACCCTCCCGGTCGCTAACGCTGCCGCACGCTCGGAACGCTAGTGATCGCTGGTGCACGCTGGTAGACGCTGCTCGTCGCTAGATCGATATCTATACTTTCCTAGTCGCTGACGCTGCCGGACGCTCGGAACGCTAGTGGTCGCTGGTGGACGCTGCCGCAGACTATGAACGCAGCCTAAAGACAAGAATTGCTATTGCCACAGTCCGGGGGAGCTAGAGCGTTAGGAGGCATGTTATGCTCCACCTGCGGCTCCGTTCTCTACCAATTGTGAGCAGTTCATTTAGGAAACAACCAGTGGTAGAAAACACTGCGGCGAGGCTCCTTCAACGCCTCGTGACCTGTTAGCACATACAGAAACTATAAGTTGGTTTGTCTCGACATCACTCACTGATGTACATAAATGTGATTTCCGTGACAGCCGATTGCGGCAAAAAGTAGTAGCACTGGGTCAGGGTGAAATTTATGCGGTGTGAGGTGGTGTCAACCGCTCCATGAACATCTGTTGCGGAAATCAAATAAAAGACTGATATCCAACGTACCCCGCAAAATCGGTGGTCATTCTGAAGTACGTTGTTCCATTGCGGTTCAGCTGGATGTAGAGCGGGGCCTCCCAGACGCAGCGTCCCAGTACGAGTTGACTTGGGAGATGGAGTGGACGCACAGTGCTGCTGACATGTTGGGTGCCTGGCCCCTAGTGGGGATGCGTACGTCACCCACTTGCATCGCCTATTTCATCGCCAACTGGAAGCGATGCTCCGCTTTCAGTTTAGTTATAGCCTACTTTGTTGCTGAGGCGTTCCAGGTTTATTTGGGTTTGGCGCGGCGCCACTCCGTACTCCACCAATTGTGAAAGCATGCAAACAAGCGACAGTAACTGATGGAAAACGGACTGATGCCACTCAAACCGAGCCCTCTGGCACGCTCCAGTACCCGCAGCGAACAGAATGTACACGCCTACTCGTCAAGCTAACCGAGAATTATTACGCTCACATTGGTTGAATGCAATTTGCTGCCCCTCCGACAGTATCTTCTTTAAATCATTCATGCCATTCCCGATGGCTCAATCTGTTGTCAGTGTGAAGCTCAACCCACACAACACGATCCTTGGTCCACCTCTTCTGGTATTTCTTGAATAACAACCACAGGACTGAAAGCTATTTGCTCCCTTGATTCACTGGTGCTCACAGACGGTTTAACTCGCTTCTTCATCCTAGCCGTATGCCTGTCGGAAGATCGCTTGTGAGCAGGTCTAGGCTCAGTTCTCTCACTGAAAACTCCTCATTTCTCCTAAATTCAATACAACGTTATCATTAGAAGGTCTCACCGACGCGGTTCCGGTGGTGGTGGTGGTGGTGGTGGTGGAGGTGGTGGCGGAGGAGGAGGTGGTGGAGGAGGCGGAGTAGGTGTTGCTGGTCGGGCTGCTGCAGCTCCTCCTGGCGGTGGTGGTGGTGGTGGTGGTAGTAGAGCGTCACCAACCGGACCTATCGGCTCGTACTGATCACCCATATGCTAAATGTATTGCAGATATACTTGTGCTTGAATACAGATCTACTGTTGGACCTTACTCAAGAAGAAGATGTCGAAACCCTGCTAGAGAAATGAGCTAGCAAACCTTGGGAATGATATTTATACCGAGCTGTTGTTTATAATAGAGGATAGAATGATAGGGCTCAGATTATTTTCGAGAAATCATTTTTGATCATCCCAAATTCCTATGGCCACATAGAAGGCTAGTCATCAGGTGCCGCCCACTTCAGACTTGTTCCGCCCCCCGATTCGTGTTTTTGTCTCGGCTGCCATGTCGTTCTCCTCTTATAGTCTAGGAGTTGCCTACTTGCGGTCGCTCGGCGCTAGTTCCGTTTCGTTTTTTAGTTCATAAAGTAGCTGCGAGCGTCCTGTCCTGAAAAGGGTTTCATTCCCATGGAACTGTGAGCTAGGCATGTTGACAGAATTTCAAAGGTTGCCTACAAATATGGAAACTAACTGTGCCTGCAAATTTAACGACGAGCGATTATGGAAGCTTGTGATGGCGTAAGGTGCTAGGGACATGTAGGCATACTAGCCTCCCAGTTTGGCTAGGAATTAGCTCACGGCGTAGCTTGACTTTAACAAGGTAAACATCATAATCATTCAGCGCGAAATCGCTTGACTCCAATCAGGGATGGATTCGTATTAGGACTCCGGAGGGGGGAAGGACCGAGTTCGGCTGGAGAAAAAATTCTTTCAGTAGTTGATTTTTCCTGTTTCATGGCTCTATTCACATCGTTGGGAGAATTCCGATGGGAGAAGTGGGTCCTATTTGCTCGTCGATGAGAGGGTAAGGGCCGTAATTGCTGGTCGTCGGGAGAGGAGGGGAGCCTTATCAGACCACGAACTTGAGTTGTATTTTTCGGATATCCCCCCCCATGGCAGTACGTGCCTTGGTGGTAAAGCCCGATACGGCATCTACGCATCTCTACCCTTGGTAGGGATCGCCCTCGAAGATGAGTGTACAGTCTGTCTTTAAATACCGACTACTGTAAGGTTCTCGACCAAACTTCCTTTCACGGAATGATCGAAATCACCGAGAACCATAGGCCCCATCGTGCCAACCGAATTTTTGCAAAGTACGATCACCTTTAAGAATTTCCCTCACACCCCCCCCCCCTTCCTCTTCCCAATCCCTCCAGTCATTCTGGTAAATCTGCGTAGCGTTTTCCTATTTTCTCCAGGGACTCTTCCAGTTTTCCCCCTGATACAATGGTGTAAGAAGGGCAAGTGGTCTGTGCAGCACGTCAAACGGGAAAAAGCGAGAACAGTCACGACCGAAAACATTTCTTATGACCTGACCCTTCCCCCGACCACTAAGCAGAACCCCGCCCCTCCCTGAAATCCCAACATAGGCGTGTCCTACAAGATCATTAAACTGCCAAGATCACAGAGGTTAGATGTTTATTACATCATAAGGAAGCGTTTTTATATTTATGACAACACGATGTTATCACAGACGATCTTCTTTGTCATGATACTACTATCCTAATATTTCGCTGTACAAAAAAATGAGTGATAAAGGCACCGGAACAATTAAAATGACTACAGATTTGTTCATTGTTTAACTAGTGAATGCATTGTATTCGAGTAAATTCCAAACAATCTCTTATCATGACCATTAATCAATACTGTATAATAGAAAAAGGCAAGGTAGTCATCGAAGATGAACAGCACGCTGACAAGACACGCCAAAAAAAGAAGTGAGCAGAAGACTGATGGAATACAAACGTCAACGGCAAACAGTAGAGATTATGTAATGATACAAGTTATGAAAGAAATTGAAACTGAGAACATAAATACGATTTTTAAAGTATAATTCGTGTTGATCTCGACGACACCTATACATTGAAATGCCCAAATTCACTCACTAAACACCGTACTAAGTATTGTTTTCGACTAGCTTTACATTCGTTTCGGAGGCATCGTCCTCTTGTATTTAATCATGAATCGCCACAGATCATTACGATGTGTACAGAGGGCCATTGACACCACTATGGCCACTAGTGCTGGTAGCGCAAGTGAAGGGATAATTTTACGCCTGAAATACGATATAAAACGATCGACGGACTCATCACTAATGCATTTGAAGATAAGGATAAGAATGAGGAAAAGCCTCCGCCGTCGATGCACCCCTTTGCGCGATACGGCACTCATTCCATCCAGAGCGTGGGTGGTTTGTCGAATGCTACAATGACTTGCGGGGGGGGGGGGGTGGCATCCGATGTACAAGTCAGTATTATGTACACAAACTGGTATCAGTTCACCGTCTCCAGAACGTAGAAGGGTTGGATGGATTAGGCGGGAGCCGGGTTTGGTCCCACCCCCAGACACACGTGTGGTAAGCGTGCTACTTGCCTTTGCATCACCACAAAATTTGAAGATAAAAGCAGACCGTTTGACGGACCAGAAAATAGATGTCTGCAGCAGCATAGAACATCTCACTCTCCTCTTTAAGAGGTCAGGACTGGAATATCACAACCAGGCTCCACAGAAAACGTCACCGCAGCTAGTTTTCCAGACCTTTCATTAGCAATGTACGGGATCGAGATCGGAGAAATAGATAGTTCA